CTGTGTTTGGGTTTGACTTTTCTGACATTTCATGTAAATATAATCATACAATATGTTTTTTTTTGTATCTGACTTCACCTACTAAGTATAATATTTTCAAAGTGTATTCATTTGTAGCTTGTAACAGTACTTCATTCCTTTTTTTTTTTTTTTCTTGTGAATTTAGGAAGGTTTATAGAACAGATCAACAAATTATATACTTAGTGTCATTACAATGATTGCAATTCACTCCATGTACCATCAGTTAATAGTATTTGCCTCTATTCACTTATCCCCCCACCCCACACACACACCTGCCCTGTAACCATCAGAGATTATTTAGTTTAGCAAGAAAATCTTTTCTTAACTTTTAACAATGTGGTCTATTTGGGTGTCGAACCAAATGCAGTATTTATCCTTTTGTGATTGACTAATTTCACTCAGCATAATGTGCTCCAGGTACATCCATGTTGTCAGGTGTTTTGCAGATTCTTCAATGTTGCATAAAACTCTATTGTGTGTATGTACCAACATATATTTAACCATTTTTCTGCTGATGGGCATTTAGGCTGTCTCCATATTTTTGCTACTGTGAATAGTATTGCAGTGAACACGGATGCGTGGATGTGCGTATATCTGGCCGTATCAAAGCTCTTATTTCTTGAGGATATGTACCAAGTAGAGGGATTGCTGGGTCATACGGCATTTCAGTTTCCAACGTTTTGAGAAAGCACCATACCATTTGACACAGTATGCACTATTTTACAATTCCACCAGCAATGTAGGAGAGTCCCAGTCCCTCTACACCTTTACCAGCATGTGTTGTTTTCTCTTTTTTTGAACTTTGTTATTAATACTGGAGTAAGATGATAACTCATTGTTATTTGATTTTCATCTCTCTAATGGCTAGTGATTGTGAGCATCTCTTCATATGTTTCTTGGCTTCCTGAATGTCTTCTTTGGTGAAGTCTCTGTTCATGTCCTTTCACCTATTTTTAAACTGGATTATTTGTTTTCTTGTTGAAGCGCTGAAGTGTTCTTTCAGTTTGGGAGAGTAGTCCTTGGTCTGATAGTCATTACCAAAAATTTTTTTCCCAGTCTATGGGTTATCTTTTTAATCTTATGGTAAAATCTTTGGATGCACCTAAGTGTCAAATTTTTAGGAAGTTGCAGTCTTCTATTTTGTCTTCTGTTTGGGTGTTTTCAGTTATGCTTGATAGTGTAGTTATGCCGTATATTCAGAGCTCCTAAGCTTGTCCCATTTTTGCATTGTTTTTATGTGCTGTCAAGTCAGTTCTGGCTCATTGTAACCCATATGGGGTTTACAAAGATTGGCTGGTGAGTTTAAACTGCCAACTTTGCAGTTCTGACTGACCTTGTGGACCAGTGCTCATCCTACAGTGCCACACCTGACTCCATTTTTCATTGATGATCTGTATAGATGTAAGTTTTACATTGGGTCTGTAATGCACATGGAGTTCATTTTTGTATATGGTGTGAAGTATAGGTCATGTCTAATTTTTCTGCAAATGGATTTCCAATTTTGCTAATAGCATTTGTTGAAGAGACTATCTTGTCTCCATTTAATGCATTTTGGCTATTTATAGAAGAACAACTGCCCATAGGTGGATGGATTTATTTCTGGGTTCTCAGTTTTGGTCATTGAGCTATGTGGTTTTCATTGTACTAGTTACCAGGCTGTTTTGACTACTGTGGCTATGTACAGGTTTTGAGAGCGGCAAGTAAGAGGTCACCTACTTTGTTCTTTTTTTTGTAATACTGCTTTGCTTATCCTGGGTCTCTTTCCTTTCTATATAAAGTTAGTGATTAGTTTTTCCAAAGAATGATGTTGGAATCTGGATTGTTATAGCGTTGTATCTTTAGATTGCTTTGGGTAGTGTTCACATTTTCACAATGCTAAGTCTTCCTATCCACTGGAAGAGATATTCCTCCATTTCTACATGTCTTTTTTGGTTTCTTGTAGTAGTGTTTTGTAATTTTCATTGTAAAGGTCTTTTGCTTCTCTGGTTAGATTTATTACCAAATATTTAATCTTTTGGCTATTGTAAATGGTATTGTTTTCCTAATTTGCTTTTTAGAGCTCTCTTTATTAGTGTAAAATAATCCAACTAATTTTTGTATGCTGATCTTGTACCCTGCCACTTTGCCAAATCTATCAATGAGTTCTAAAATTTTCCTGTGGATGCTTTAAGATTTTTAAGTATAGGATCATATAGTCAGAAAATAAGAGTCTTACTTCTTTGCCAATTTGCTGCTGCTATTAATTGACATTGAGTCAACTTCGACTCATAGTGATGTTGTATAGGGTTTCTGAGGAGTGACTGGTGGTTTTGAAGCACCAACCTCATGGTTCAAACTGACCTTGTGGTCCAGTGCTTATCCTACAGCACCACATCATGATGCTGTGAATTTCTCTTTCTTTCTTTATAACTCTGGCTAAGACTTCTCACACAATAATGAATAGGAGTGGTGATAGAGGGCATACTTGTCTAGTTCCTTGTTTGCAAGGGAAATGACTTCAGTTTCTAACCATTGAGAATGATGTTGGCTGTTGGCTTTTTATATGCCCTTAATTATGTTGAGGAATTCTCATTGTATTCTTATTTTGTTGAGTGTTTTGATCAGGAATGAGTGCTGGGTTTTGTCAAATGGCTTTTCTGCATCAATTGATAGATCATGTATTTTTTCCTTTGTTTTATTTATGTGGTGGATTACATTGATTGTTTTTCTAATATTGAACCATCCCTACATACTGGTATGAATCCCACTTGGTCATGATGTATTATTTTTTGTATATATTGTTGGATTCTATTTGCTAGGATTTTGTTGAGAATTTTTTCATCTATGTTCACGAAGAATATTGGGCTATACTTTTCTTTCTTAGTGATCCGAGTTATGCTTGTTTCATAAAATGAATTCAGGAATTTCCCATGATTTTATGTATTATGGAATAGTTTGATTAGAATTGGTGTCAGCTCTTCTCTGAATGTTTGATATAAGGTTCCTGAGTTGTGGCTGGTTAGTTTGAACCACTGACCCTGTGGTTCATACTGACCTTGTGGTCCAGTGCATTATCCTACAGTGCACACCAGGACTCCTGTACTATACTAGTATTGAAAAATTTATCTTCAAGCTCACTAATTCGGGCTTCCATTGCTTCAGATCTACTCCTTTGCCCCTTCAATGAATTTTCTGTCTCTGAAATTTTAGTGTTAATCTGGATTTCTAGCTGCAGGTTTTGTATTGTTTGAAAATGTGCATTTATTTTGTCTGTTTTTTCTTGTAGTTTTTTCCTGAATTCTTCTAAGTGTTTTTTGTGTTCTCCTTGCTTTCCTTGATTTTTCTCTCTATACTTTGTAGATATCTAAATATCATTCTTTTGGATTCCTTTTCAGTTAGTTCCATTACTTTTTGATGTAACTTAGGATTTAATTTTCGGCCTATTTCCTCTTTTGTCTGCTTGTCCTGCTCCACAATCCCCGTTCAGGCCTTTTTTCTAGTTGAAACAGTTCAGGGCCGGCTGTGGCCGTTTGGTTTTATTTGGAAACTGTCTCTTTAAATTTTGAGGAGATCTGTGCGCATGAGTAGTAGAACCTCCGAGGGTGGGGCTGGGCTGCCCACTAGCTCAGGCACCCCTGTAGTCACCAGAATGGAGTTGCACAGACAGCAAGGGACCAATGAACAGATACCAAAAGAAAAGAATGTCCACACCTTTATCTCAGCGGTTCTGCCAGGCGTCTGTGGCCGCTCTGATCCTTCCCCCACGTGGTCTCACCCAAGATGGCGGCTCCTGGAGCAGCCGAGCGAGCCGGACTAGAAATCAATAGATTTCTTGCTTCTGCCACAAATTCCCCCAGCTGTGAGCCTTCCAACCTTCTAAGTATTCCTTTATATGTGGTTCAGAGTTCTGGGACCATCCCCTGAACCTTCTTGGTCGGGTATTCTCTGTTGTTGTTGGCGGAGCTCTCTGCTATACGTCCACCCGATCCGCCATCTTGTTTGTTCTGAAGTCCATGGTCAGTTCCATTACTTTTTATTTTTCAGAAACTTTTTTTTTGGATCTGCATCTTGGTCATTGTGCTAATCTCTCTTGTTTCTCTGTATGAGCTAAAGTTGTTTCTGGGACATTGTGGTGTTTTTATATTTGCATTTAATTGATGACTGCATGTTGATGTGTTCTTAGGCTCTCACCAACTTTGTCCTGTGGTTGTAGTTAGGGAATGGAAATGTGTGCATCATTCTCTGTTCGCTGTTCATATACCTTAGTTTAGGGTGGGTTTGGACGGTGTTAATCAGGTGATATACCAAATAGTATTGGCTTTTGCCCAACAGATGGAGCTGCAGAGGGTATGGTTGTGGCTAGGCTGTCTCCCATTGGGTGGGAAAGAGCATAAACACACACACACACACACCCTGCCATGCACACACCAGGAAGCAAACAGAATAAACAAGCAAGAAACCAACATTGGCAAAGAGAAAATAATAAAGGAGGACAAAGAATTAAAAACAGGCCGGGACTAGAAAATAAGAATCTAATGACTAAAAGAGAAAAGAGGGACAAGAAAATGGAACTATAGAAGAAGAAATAACAAAATGAAAAAAACCAAACCCCAAAACAAAAACAGGGCAGCTTTTGGAGAGGCGAGAACTCTGGAGGGTTTCTGTCAACCAGTGATTTCAGGTGGTGAGTGTGGAATGAATGTGGCAGCAGAGTTTTTGGCCGTAGATGGAGTTCCTGTCGGCCTCAGTGGTATCTATTATCCGGACACTCAATCTGGAAGTAGTTCATGGAGGCCCTTGATGGAGCTAATTTCAGTGTCTGTTAGTAGCCTGGGGCAGCTGGGGGCAGGGTGACTGGTTAAATGCTGTTCTGATGCCCCTATCTGTTCCGTAGGTACTAAGCCGAGCCCATCTGAGTCCCGGCACTAAAATGCTGCACCAGAGTGGCACAGCCGGCCCCCACATCAACCTGGTGTGGCTCCCAGCCACTTGTCTGTGAGCTCCTGGAGAGCAGGGTCTGTGCGGGGGATGGAGGAGTAGTATATGAGGGTGTGAGCTGGCCACACCCCTGGTCACCAGAGGATCATGGGGAAAAAGAAGGAATCACACCTTTCAGTCAACTTGTGTGAATCTGCTCTGCCAGGCCATCTTCTGTTGCCAAACCTGTTCACAAAGGTGCAAAATGGTAGACCATACCTGGTCAGCCATTTGCCAGTTAGTCTCCCTCTCTTACCTTCCTTGCTCAGCTTCTCCTCCCAATGAAAACTCAAGCTACCTCTCTAACCTTTCTAATGAAGTTCAGGGTTCCAGAATTTTCATGTGCCCGATTTATTTGGTCTCTCATATCTTTGTTGTAGACGGTCCCTATAGTGTATCTGACTAGTCTGCTATCTTACCGGAAGTGTGACTTTGTTCCTTTTTTAAGGCTGCATAATATTCTGTTATGCATTCATTCTTAGGAAAACCTCTTTTGTGTTCTTTATATACAGAAGGGGAGCGCTGGGTAGGTTATGCCTTGCATACTAACCAAAATGTTGGCAGCTCAATTTCATCCAGAGAGGCCTTGGAAGAAGCCTTGGTTATTTACTCCTCCTGAACAGTCGCAGCCATTGAAAACCATATGGAGTATGGGTTCTGCTCTGAAGCACGTGGGTTTACCAGGATCTAGAATTGACTTGACAGCAACTGGTTTGAGTGGTTTGGTAATGTAAAGGACTGGAGAAGGTGTCCTGGACCCAGAGAGAGGGATGTGATAAAGCTTCTACCCTCAAGGAACAAGAAGCAAAAGGCAGCTGAGAAGAATCATTTACACCAACTCCTCGCTTTTTGACTATCTCATTATCTGTCATTTCACATTTAAAATAATTTAAAAAATCAATCCAACTATTTTGCACATTAATGACATACCTCCAGCAGTACCCTGTATAGGGTTTCCAAGGAGCAACTAGTAAGCATGAATCACTGACCTTACACATCAAACCAACGTTGTACTCCAGTGCATTAACCCAGTGTGTAGTAGTTGTTGTTAAGTACTCTGGAGTCGGTTCTGACTCATAGAGACCCTATACAGGGTTTCTGAGGCTACAAATCTTTACGGGAGCAGAAAGCCTCATCTTTCTCCTGCGGAACAACTGGTAGTTTTGAACTGCCAACCTGGAGGTTAGCAGCCCGATTCATAACCACTAGAGTAGTGTGTAGTAGGTGTATCAAAAACATTGAATCTCAGAGATAATTTGTTAAAATGCTATTAAATACTAAAAGATAAACATCTTTATAGAATCATATTGCTGCTGCTGTTATTGTTAAGTGCCATCAACACAGTCCTGACTAATAACCACCCTTGTATAGGGTTTCCAAGGAGTGACTGGTGGGTTTGAGCTGCCGACCTTGAGGCAGTAGTGCAGTGCTGATCCTATAGTGCCACACCATCCTGTGAGAATCATACTGTCACTTTTTCTGATAGTGCTGAAAAAATAAACACATGGCAGCAAATGTGTTAGTTTCAGTTGCCTTAATGCATATACATTTCTTAGATTTTATGTGAGGACACGTAGATGGAGAGAGGGGAATAATTTATATAAGAAATGACACCTCTCCAGCACATGTATGGATTATAAAACTTAAGTTATGATTTGTCCCTTCATAATTTGATTTAGGGGACAAAGCAATACGTGTAACCAAGAAGAAAAATGTGTGTAACTAAGGTTATTCTCTCACATAATAAATAAAATGCATAAAAGGCTATCTTGGAAAATCTTTTAAATAGGACACTAAAAATTATTCAGGGATTTTTGGTACAAAAAGTAATTTCCTTTTTTTAATGCAAAAGTGTTTTAATTGTGGAAAGATTTAATTTTCTCATTGTTATTGAATTAATTATACACTGTGTAAGGAGAGCTTAGATTTTTTTTTTTTGAATCTATTTGACATAAAACACATCTCACCAAAAGCACACGCCAGGATTGTTTTGAAGAGATGCCAACATTCCAAAAACTTCTGCAACCCTTTCATTGTACTTAACCAGATTTCCTGGAGACTGACTTTAAAGCTTTTACTATGGCAGATTTTATACAAATCAAATTTATGTAAAATATAACTTAAACTATTAGACAAACTTAATAACTTTTTATGTAACAGTCATTTAAAAATCATTTTATTTTTATGACATGAGTAACCACAGCATTAGATATAGATTTGGTGAAGTCTTTATATTGTAATATCAACAGGGTAAATGCTTTAGTTTTAGAGCTGAAGAACCATCAGTATTCAGAAAATCCAAAGGTGGCATCAAATCTTTGGTTCATTCACATCTTCATACTCTTACCTCAGTAATGCTTCCACGCTGCCCTTCTCTAAATAAAATTAGTTGGAATTACAAGTTAATGTATTAGAAATGCTATTCTTCTAACAGCATAATATTTGCATTCTTAAGCAATTTTAGTTTTATGTAAAAATTAGGCAAATAATTTCAACTAGGATAATTGTAGATTATTCTATTAACCAAATTCTACTATTTTTGTTCGTGTGTATTGAAAATAAAATACAAGCCTGATTATTTCAATTCTGAATGAGTGGTGACAAAAAGGCAATGTAGGTGAACCAGGACTGGATTGTTTTGTTTTTTAAGTCTCTAATAACAGAATGCGGAAATCATCGGACAATCTTTTTGATATCTCAAGC